TATATATATATATATATATATGTATATATGATAACATAAAAATCAAATGCATGTATAATAATTATTAGTATAATTAGTATTAGTATTATTGGTTACTATTATGGTTTTTCAGTTATGTGCGAATGAAATGATCGGCTAGCATTACATAATTAATTTCATTTTGCTTTATTTATACTTGTTCGTTTTTTTTTTTTTTTTTCGTTTTAATGTGATAAATGCATTTTAAAAGAACTTGTTTATTCATGTATGTGCGACGTCTGTTCTTTTCTCACTTTTTTATGCACTCGTATTTTTGCATTCATTTCCCTCTTCTTTTCTTTTTCTTCTTTATTAAAAAAAAAAAAAAAATTACTTATTTATACTTGGTGGAAATAAAAGCTATTACTTGCTCACCAACTCAAACTATTGAAGGCGATTTAAAAATATTTTTAGCCGATTAGCTTTTCTATATCTCTGCATATCAGACATATACGTTCACATATTTGACCTTCTTAAATATCGAGAGAAATAAGAAGTCAACCACATCTATCTATATCTATATCTATTTATATTTATATATCTATTTATCCCTTTCCGAACTTATTTTCAATGCGTGCCTACAGCCGTAATGCCATTCTCCGCTGCTGCGACGGTCTCTCCCGCCGCCATGCGGCCGCCAGCGACGAACTGAAGGCCGCCGTGTTGGCGCGGCACAACGCCGACGCACCGAAGATCAAAGCGATGCGGGAGCGCTACGGCCCGGAGTCGCTCAGTAAAGCCACCGTCGACGCGGCGTACAGCGGGATGCGGGGAATCACCGGTATTGTCTACGAGCCATCGCTGCTGGACGCCGAACACGGCATTCGCTTTCGCGGTCTCACCATTCCGGAGTGCTGCGAGCGAATCCCAAAGGCCCCACGCGGCGGCACCGCACCGCTGCCGGAGGGAATGTATTGGCTTCTCATGACAGGGAACATCCCAACAGATGCGCAGGTACAAGCACTTGGTGCCGAACTGCACCAGCGAGCAGATCAGGAGATCATTGAACAAGCCATTAAAGTTATCGCTACATTGCCAGAAAATGCACACCCCATGACTCAATTGGCTACAGGCATTCTCGCACTACAGACACATAGTAAGTTTGCAGCGGCCTACGCATCAGGGAAGGCTACAAAGGCAAATTATTGGGAATACGCCTTGGAAGACTCTCTTGACATCATCGCCCGTTCTCCACAACTGGCTGCAGTGATTTACAATCGCCTTACCACTGGTAAGGTGGCTCTCGCTAACCCCAGTGATAAAAATTTGGACTGGGCTGGTAACTTTACCAACATGTTGGGATTCAAGGATGAAACGTTCTGGGATTGTATGCGACTTTACCTTTCCTTGCATTGTGATCATGAGGGTGGTAATGTTTCAGCTCATTCTACTATTTTGGTTGCATCAGCCCTCAGTGATCCTTATCTATCCTATACTGCCGGACTTAACGGTCTTGCTGGCCCTCTTCACGGACTTGCAAACCAGGAGTCACTTACCTATTTGCTGGAAATGCGTGATAAGTGCAAGGCGGCTGGATTAGATATGAGGAACCGAAAAGAACTTACTGCTGGTTTGGAAAAGTTTACATGGGAACGATTGAATGCCAAACGTGTGGTGCCTGGTTTTGGACATGCCGTGCTGCGTGTTACAGATCCCCGTTACACATGTCTGCGTGAATTCTGTCAGAAGCACTTCCCTGAAGATGAACTCTTCTTGCTTGTAGATGCCATCTACTCCATTATGCCAGATATTCTTACCAAACACGGTAAGACCAAGAACCCATTCCCTAATGTGGACGCCCACTCTGGTGTTGTTCTTCAGCACTATGGCCTTACAGAACAGGTCTACTACACTGTCTTGTTCGGTATTTCCCGTCAATTAGGCGTTCTGACAGGTGTTGTGTGGGATCGTCTGCAGGGTCGTCCTATTGAACGTCCAAAGTCCATTACATCGGAAGCGCTCTTAAAGCAGTTTAAGATGGAATAGAAGGTGTTCTACAAAAAGAATCTGAAGAAAACAAGAAAAAAAAAAAAAGATCATAATAAAGAAGAGAAATCACCTACACAGGTGAGAGAGTTAGTGAAGAAGTAGTAGTACAAGAAAATGTTCAGAAATATTAAGATGTGGGTGAGAGAATTGCTATCGGTGAGGAAAAAGAAAGAAATAAAATAAATATATTATCATTACTTTTTTTTTTTTTATTTTGGTCTTCTCTTACCCTCGTGACTTTTTTTTTTGTTTTATGTATCTAAGGATTTTTACCCCATGGGTGCGTCTAAGCACGCGTCTCCGTGCTGGTGTTTGTACGTCTGTGCCTATGCCGGTGCCTGTGTGTGTGTGTGTGTGTGTGTGCACATTCTTGTTGTGATTCCCCATGTCAATTTTTATTTTTGGTTATTTTTGCTTTGTTTTTTTTTTTTTTTTTATTGGGGTGGATGATGAACGAACTATGGAAGAAATGGATAGAAGGATATTCCTACTTTGAACGGGATGATGGACGACAATGATGGAAAAAAAGGGGAAAAAAATATGATGAGCGAAAAAAAAAAAAGGTGGGTTTATTATCAAAGGGTGCTGTGAATAAAGGAGCATTTTATGATCTGCTCGCACGGTACGAATAGAGAGTACATAAAAAAGTTCAAAAAAAAAAAAAAAAAACAAGAAGGGGAAATAGTGGGGTCATATGTGAAAGGAGGCAATAAAATATTTGAATTGCATTATTTATATAGATAAATTCCTTTAAAGCCTTCAGAATATGTGACCTCTTTTTTTCTCTCGTTTTTTTATTTCCTCTTTTTATTTCAAACTTTGAAGACGTTTTTTTTTTGTTTTGTTTTTGTTTTCTTTCTTCCCTTTTTTTTTCCTCACTGTACTTATTATCTTTTTTTTTTTTTGAGGGAGTTCTGTCTTCTTGCCACTCGAATGAAAAAGAAGGGTTTAAAGAGTTCTTTCCTGGTCTCAGATAACAGCGGGGCTGAAGTACACTATTTCACTGTTCATATATGATGGGAAAGAAAAAAAAAAAAAAGAATCTTTCCAAGAAGAAAAGAAAAAGGATTAACTGATACAGTAGAGAAAATAACCTGAAATGGGAATCACTTGAATATTATATGTTATCTCGAAACGACTGTATTTCTGATTCTATCTCTGTTCTTGTAATAGGGAAAGAAGGAAGGAAGAAGAACAGCTTGGGGACTTGCCGCAAAAAGAAAAAAAAAATGAATACAAGGGAAAAGAAATATTAAAAAAATATAATGAAAGCTATGATAGGTGTTTTTTTTTTTCTTTTTATTTCGGTATTGAAGGGAAAAACTGGGGGGTTAGATTTTTTTTTTTTTTTCTTCCTGTATTGCATTTTTCGTGAATAATGCGTCTGACACGTCTTTTTCATTAGTTCGAATTCCTTGCTTCCTTTTATTTTCCCCCGTATTCTTTCTTGTATGTTCCATTATTTAACGCTTTTGTAATTTGCTTTTGTTTTGAGTGCGTATCGCTCCAGTGTTTTTTTTTTTTTTGTCTGCTTCCATTCTCTCACTATTTCTGCATGATAAAAGAAGAAAGAGTCGGAATAGCTCAGTCTCGTGTATTGTTTATCTTCATGGGAGTATAGTGAAATGGTGAGTGCTTTGTGAACAATGGGAGTAAAGTGAAATGGTGAGTGCTTTCTGAACAGCAAACGTTATATATATATATATATATCTTTTTCTTTTTTATTTTGCTTATGTATTTTTACTGGTTTATATGTTTCTTTCTTCGAAATGGGGAGAGGTTTTCTCGGAGAGATATCCCTCCGAGGTACATAATTACCAGAATGGAATAATGAGAAGAGAAGGAAAAACAAAACAAGAGTCCCCCTGACATAATATATATATATATATATATATATATATATATATATATATATATTTGTCGTACTCAAGGAGAAATAGAAGTGATAGCGTATTTGGGTGACAAAGGAGTCTTTTCTTTAACTATATGTTTTCACCGCTTGCGATGATTAGAGCCGTATTGCACTGCTCTTTTTTTTTTGTTTTCCTTCTTGTTTTCATTTGTTATTCTAGTAATATTTTCCCAGTGATTTTCTTTTTTTTTTTCTTTTTTTTTGCGTTTATTATTATTATTATTATTATTATTATTATTATCTTACCCTTTTTTTTTACTTTTTTTCTTTTTTTTTTCTCCCATTATTCGTTACGCCTCTGCTTTGACTGACCCAGAGAAAAAGAAGAGAAGAAACTGTAATGAAAAAAATATATCATGTGAAGTGTGGGAGTCCTTTGTGTACGCTGTGGTATTACTACCACGTATGGAAAATACTGTTGGGACTAGTACTACTTCTACTAATCATTTGGTGTCTCTTCTTTCATTGGGGCCTAGTAGAAAAAGTTGTATATGTGGCTGATGAACGCGAATGATGGGTGGAAGATGCTGTGGGGGTTTAAGGATAAAACTAATAAAAGAAGAAAAAAAAAAAAAAAACAGAGCCGTAATAAAAAAAAAAATTTTTTTTTTTTTTTTTTCTTTTATATTCTTCCTCTCTTTTCTCTTCAATCTCAACTACAGCAGAGTGTAATGTATGGTGTTGTTACATGCAGTCTGCTGATGGAGGAGGAGTTGAAGGAAGAAGTGCGAGGCGGTGAAGGGATATTTGGGTATGGGAAGAATATGTATTTTGCATAGTCTATATATTTATATATATATACGTATATGATTACGTACATAAATGAGTGAATGCGTGTTCTTCACAATACCTTCTTTTTACCCTTCAATTGATTTTCTTCTGAAAAGGTCCTTTGTTGTGATTATTATTATGCCAGCGTTCTCATTTTTTTTTTTTTGTTTTTTCGATATTTCAAACTTATAATGATCCCAACATATTTCTTTCTTTTTTTTTTTGCGTTTCCTTTGGGACTTCTCATTGATTATGGATCCCTATACAATCACCTTTCCATTTTCTCTCTTTCTTTCTTTCTTTCTTTCTTTTTTCTCTTTACTGTTTTCCTCTCTGTTTGCTCAGTTCATTCTTTACTACACTTTAATATATCTGCGGCAACCCATAGGAAAGAAAGGAAATGAATACAGTGAATGGAGAAAAATATGTACAGATTCCCTAATAAGAGTGGGAACGGATGAGAGAGCAGCAGTAATCACTCTAAGGTGACACTGATGTTTCTTCAAAGATGATTTAAGGGGATATATATATATAGAGAGAGAGAGAGAAAGAGAGAAATAGAGTCAAAGAAAAGAGTTAGAAGAATAACAATGAGAAGTAAGGAGCGTAAAAGAAAAAAAAAAAAAAAAAAAAAAGAAAAGAAACTAATTCTGAGAGACATATGACTATTATGTAATAGGATAAATAGAGTCTCTATTTTATCTTATTTTAGTTAATTTCTCACTACTTTCTTTTTTTTTTTTTATGTTGGTATCTTTCTTTGTTTGCTTTTTTTTTGTGGTGCGATTTATGTGATGTTAATCGTAGTTTTTTTTTTTTTTTTTAAACAATTTCTCTGAGCTTAGCAAACACTTCTATAATGTTCTTCCCTCTTCTTATGCCTTGACACACCCACCCACTCACTCTTTCTCTTTCCTGGAGACATGCGTGCTTCTGTGTATGTATGTGAGTGGGCAGAGCGTGTGTGGGGAGCCAGGCGTGTTTGTGTCTGTGGGAGTTCTCAGAATGGGCATTGATCTTTTTTTTTTTTTTTTCTTCCTTCGTCTGCGTTGGCATCTGGGGAGTTGTTTTCTTTTTTCTTTTAAAAAAAGAAAGACACATATATGCTGATATGTGTAATGATGAAGATGGATTATGTGTGTGGTTGCACATCAGAGTATATATATATTATTTATTATTCTTTTATTTTTCAATGCAGGAGTTTGAACCCCTTTACCTCTTTTTTTTCTTTTTTTTTTTTATTTACGGCTTGGTTTTCAGTTGAAGGTACATCACAGTCATAGACAGAGACAAACTGAATCACAGCAAACACACTACAAAGAAGAACAGAAAAATAAGAACAAAAAAA